GGGCATCCACATTTGGTTCCCATTTCCTTTGCAGCCAAGACCAAACATATCATTTCTGAGTTACCTTTTGGGACAGAGTAAAGGCATGGCATTGCATGGGCAGAGCATTATGTTCTGCCCAGTTGATCCTGGATCTTGGATGGCATTTCACTTGTCCTACAGAATTTGGGTTGACCTTGGAAAGGGGGCTTAAATGCACGGTGAAAAAAGCCCTCACCAAGGCATTGGGGTATTTGAGGGCAAAACAATTCATGGGGATCCTGGGGTCACAACAATACACAGATGCCTAGATCTGTTTTAGGGCTCTGCAGGACTCTTGAATATTTTTCAATCACACTCTCTCAGCCTCAGAGGATGGCAATGGCAAACCCCCTCTGAAGAAACCTGCCAAGGAAACCCTATGATAGATTCATGTCAAAGATGACATGGAGGCACACAACAGCAACAAAAATGGGTGGTATACCTGGAGGTGGTGGCACTGACTCTAAGCAGGCATAGATGCACCCGTTGTAGCAGCAGCGCTTGTGTCTCTCGCACTCGGAGTCAGAGCGGCAACTGGGAACCTCGCACGCTTGGTCTGGCAGAGTCTGTGGTGGAGGAGGGCAGCGGTCATTCTTCTGGTAGGGAGTGCCATGAGAATGAAGGGAATACTCATAGTCCTGGTTGAAGAAAAAGAAAAAGAGAGAGTTTGGTTGTGTGTGTGTGTTTCTCCCCCTCTGACACTCGTCTTTAAAGAAATTCTTGCAATCATCCCTCCGTATCCATGGATTCTTCATCCATAGATTCAATCATCTATGGCTTGAAACTATTCTCCATTATTGGGAGAAGGACAGGACACAATTGAATAATAATAATAATAACAACAACAACAACAGAGAATCAGCATGGTGTAGTGGTTTGAGTGTTAGACTATGACTCTGGAGAGCAGGGTTCAAATCCCAGTTTGACCATGTAACACCACTGGGTGACCTTGGGCAAGTAACACTCTCTCAGCCTCAGAGGATAGCAATGGAACCCCCTCCCCAGAAACTTTTCAAGAAAACCCCTTGATAGGTTCCCCATAAGTCAGAAACAATTTGAAGGCATATAACAACAACAATACACTTTGTTGCAGTATTAATGTTGGAACACTGAACTTTAAATTTTATATTTTTAAGGAATATATGGGGGGGGGGGGCGGTGGCGAGGTCCTAGTTTTTAACACAATCAAAGTATAACTTTCCCAGTTCAGTATTTCATATGTTTTCCTCTCTTTAACATTGCACAATAGCATATGTAACTGAGAATGCTGTCAAGTATTTTAATTAACATAAGTGTGTATCTGTGTCTATTTGCAAACAAGTATCTCTCTATTTTATTTCTGCTCTTAAGATTTCAGGATTCCTTGTATTACTCAGAGGGCACACTAGATGGCATTGACTAGCAATGACAGCTGAGCAGAGGCTGCAAAAGCAATGGCAAGCATGCAGCTTTTCAGATATTATTGGATTGCGGCTCCCAGCATCCTTTACCATGAGCCATGCTGGGTAGGTTTGCTGAGACTTTCAGTCCAACACTTTCTTCAGGGCTGCATAATTTCCATCCTTGCACCATAACCATCTAAGGACCCACCATAACATATCCATGTGTGTGCATGTGCCTTCAAGTGTCACCTGTTGATGTATGGTGACCCCATACATTTCTTAGGGTTTTCTTAGGCAAGGATTACTCAGAGGTGGTTTTGCCAGTTCCTTCCTCTGTAATATATATACCCTTCATCATTTCAGAGATAAAAACCAAGACCTCTGGTTGAGCAAGTCAAAAGATACTAAGGAGGAAGAACAGACAAGCTAGGAGATGCTGCAGCAGTTTGCTTTTGCCTGGGTCTACTGGGAAGGGCAAGATCCCACTCCTCCTCTTCTCTTTCTCTTGCTAAATTAATGGGGTGCAAGCTATATTTGCTCCTTTAACTCAGTTTGCATCAACGGAAGTAAGCTGAGGATGAAGGGGAAAAGTGGGAGGAGGAGAGAGAAACTTTTAAAAAGTTTTTAAAGGATATTTTTTTTAAAAAAGCAGCTAAAAGAGTGGGATGACAGAGGATTAATCGGGACTCTCCCTGCCAAATCTGGACAGCTGGAAGGTGTTTTTATATTGTTGCACACACCCTATTTCTGTTTCCAAGGAATGTTGGAAAGTGTGCATTTCACATCCTTGAGAAGCTTCGAGTCTACTTCCTTGCATGCATGTTTCAAATTTCCTTCAGGGTTTACATTTTGGTTCCAAGATGCATGGTTTGGGTTTTTTTCCTCCTCATTCCTCCGTCCCTGACAAGTCTGAACATAAATGCAGAGAGACCTTTAATCCGGTTGTCACATTTATGTAGTTCCCTGCACTCCAAAAATGCTTCGGTGGCATTTTTATAACTGGAGCAGCAGCCACAGCCAGGAATTTATTTTTAAAATCTATTTCTCTATTAGATTTCTTTTTTTTTTGCCACACCCTTTGGCCTTGCAAAATGGAAGTAAAGGCAGCAGCTAGGAATATAATGCAGAAAACATAATGTATGTGTGTGTGTGTGTGTGTGTGTGCCTTCCAGGAACAACCCTATGGATTTCTTAATCAGGGAATATGCAGAATGGACAATTTTAAAAAGAATTTAAAACCATCATTGAAAAAACAACAACAATTTTGAGTGTGATTTCCTGCTATTTTGGTATGGACCTGCAGTTAGAATGCAAAATTGCACCCTCATTTTTTTTTCCAGCCAAAATTTGCATTTTTTTTTCTCTACTGACAATTTCAAAAAATCTGAACTGAATAGTTAAAGGAGTGGAAGGATTACATAGGATCACCAAGGCTGCCCAGTTCCCAGCCTAAGCTAAAATAAGTCCCTTGTTCAAACCAACAACACTCTAAAGCAGAATATTGTCTGTTCAACACTGTCAGATTCATATCTTCTGCATATATCTCGATTATTGCTATGTCCTCTTTCTATCTCAATTATTTTTGAGGAAGTAAACATTTCTTGGGTTATTAATAGGATCGAGTGAACCAGTCAGTTTTGCTTTCTTGTGCATTCAAAATATTGTGAATTCCGGTAAAGTCTCATCACAGATGATCTGAATCAAAATTGTCATCCATCCCTGAATTCCCTTTCTCTTGAAGTTGAATTTGGTGAAGTTTAGTAAAAAGGAGTCTGAAAATGATTTCAAATTAAACTTTTTTCCTATCCTAGAGGGATGGAAAAAATAATTCCGCTTTGTCTCACGTTCCAGTTGTGGTAATTCTGGTAAATTTGGACTGAAAACAAATGGAAATGATCTGATAGTGAAGAGAAATCAAACTCTTACCTAGGACAGCTTAATTTTTAAACTTTCTCCTGCATTCAAATTTTGTGAACTTTTTTTGGCGTAATCTAACTGAAAACAAAGGGAAATGAAATTGTCACCTATTCCAGTTTATTCATAGATGAGAATTATTCTCCTATAAAAATATATCAGGACGTAGCAAGATGATGGACCGCAGAGAAAGAAAAGGGAAAAAAAGGGTGCTGAAACTGTTAATAAAACAACACACTTCCTTCCAAAATTGTTCTCTTAGGCAGTTTTAAAATTAATTCCTTTCTCTCCCTAAACAAGCATAAGTCGCCTTGAAATCTTATCCTTTTTGCAGGTGATCCCTCTTGCCTGCCTTTTGATCACTTCCGTTCTTGGTAACCCTAGATAGTCTCCAACTCACAATGATGGGAAATGAGTTTTCAAGGAAACGGTAATTAAAAAGCGGCTTGCCTTTGGAGCCTCAAACAATACTTTGGGCTCCATCCGCTCTACAGAGCCTTTCCTCCCTTGGGACTTCAGCTCCACCCTTGGTTGCAAACCTTGGTTACAAACCTTTTGAAGGCACAAGTTCTTTAATCAGGATGGTAAACCCTTCCCCAAGGGTGGCTTTCAGTAGCATTTCCCTGGATTTGGGTAAAGGTGGGTGTACGCATATTCCACACAAACCGATAAAATGTCTGAATGATATTGCCATTGATCTATCTACTTATCTATCTATCTATCTATCTATCTATCTATCTATCTATCTATTTATCTATCAATCATCTATCTCTCTGTCTGTCTGTCACCTTATTTATCTATCATCTATCTATCTAATATCTCATCTGTCTGTCTGTCTGTCTGTCTGTCATCTAATCTATCTATCTATCTATCTATCTATCTATCTATCTATCTATCTATCTATCTATCTATCTATCTATCTATCTATCTATCTATCTATCTATCTATCTATCTATCTATCTATCTATCTATCATCTCTCTCTCTCTCTCTGTCATCTTATCTATCTATCTATCTATCTATCTATCTATCTATCTATCTATCTATCTATCTATCTATCTATCGCAACAGTGCAGTTACAAAAGAAGTGACACCACTTGGAACATGCCACATTATTCAGAAACAGCTCAAAGAGTCCTAGGTTCCTGGATAGAATCTAAATAATTAATGTTCCAAAACCAATCATTATCAATAATCCTTTTGATGACAACTCTCAGAATCCCATTCGCAAAAGCAATAGTAGTCCAAAACCTAACCTCGCCAAGCTCTCCTTCCCACTTTAGCATCCTAGGATTTGATCCCCTCCTCCCCTTCTAGCTTCCCTTTCCATCCTCAAAAGCAGATCTACTCACATCATATTTCTCTGCCAGCTTCAGGTGTGGCGTCCTTCTCCAGCGTCTCTTTGCCCATCCCAAAGGTGGGCAGAGAAGAAGCAGCGCAAGGCACAACATCACTGCCAAGAATTTGGGACACGCGTGCTGTTTGCCCTCCATTCGAGTTCCTGGACCTCTTCTCACACCATGAGAAGACAAGAAATGAAAATCAGGAAAGGGAAAGGGAAAGAAATCCAAGGGTGGAGGATGAACCAGGCTTTGGGTTTCCTAGGAAGGAAAAAGGAGGTGGGTTGTTCACTCCTCTCTGGTGCCGCTCACATTGCCTGCTGCCTCCACCCAATGGAAATTTCAAATCCAGAAAAGTGCTGCAGCCTTGGATTGGGGACCAACAAGTTTTTGCAATTGTTCTTGAAGTTTTCTTGCTCCAGAGTAGGATCAGATCCTTGGGTCTTCTTTGCAGCTGCTTGGAGGCTATGCCCCTGGGGTCCACCACCCTAGAAAGATAGATAGAAAGATTATTTTTAGACCTTTGTTTCAACATCTGGCACTCCCAGAGAGAGAGGGAAAGAGAGAGAGAGAGAGAGGCCTTTTCAAAGCCAAAGAGAGAAAGAGAGGATCAGATGACAGCTGCTGAAAAGGGGGAAGGAGAGAAGCTGGGGGAAAAAAAATTAAGGTCTCCAAGGAATAGGCAGGACAAGCTTCGACAAGAGGCATTTCCAAATTTCCCAAAGCAAAATTCCTCTCCGAAACAGCTGTCCAGTTTGCTACCTACTTTTTTTTATAATTTGAAATGCTAGTTTACCCAGTGCAATGAAATATACACACACACACAGAGAAAGAACACGGAGAAGTTACTTTTGCTTTGGTGTGCCTTCAAGTCATTTCTGACTTATGGTGACTCAAAGGACAACCTACCAGGGATTTTCTTGGCAAATATCTTTAGAGGGGGCTTGCCATTGCCATTGCCATTGTCATCCCCTGAGGCTGAGAGAGTGTGACTTTCCCAAGGTCACCCAGTGGGATAGCATTTCTGAAAGACGGTCATCTGACTTTGGTTTAAAGACCTCTAACACCGAAGAGCCCCACCCTCCGTGGCAGTTCATTTCAATGCCAAACAGCTCTTATGGCACAGAATTTTTTTTTGGTAACGTTTAGGGGGAAATCTCTTTTATTGTAAGCCTTCGGTTTGTGTTCTGCTCTCTGGAGCAGCAGAAAACTGCTCTGTCTTCTGCCATGACATCCCTTCAGATATTTAAAGTTGGCTATCATGGTACTTCTCAGTCTTCTCTTCTACAAGTTT